TGGACTGATAATACAACCAAATATACAACAACAGCTTCATCAATTTCAAAATCATTTTCATTTGTATGCATTTTAAGATTTCATAACGAATTAAAAAAATAACAATACACAAATCAAAAAAGAGAAAACAAACAAACAAAAAAAGGTATATATACAGTATATATGATAAAGCTAAGAAATACATCATTAAAACTCAAACCTACATTCATTGTCACAACTTACCACATTAGTTATGTTTTGTGTAATCTTTATCACACCTATTTTTCACATCTTGTATCAAAGACTTTAACTCATTCTCATAGTTATTTTTTCTATTCTATACATTTAATTTACCAGATTCTTCCATTCCGAAGGAATTCAGTTTTTATGTTTTTACCAGTTTTACCTGTATATCTTTTTGCTACTCAAGGAATAAGTAACAATCGTTCTTATTGATTTGCTTTGACCAGAGGAGGACCATTACTATGTTTTGCCTTCTATTCACCGCATTCTCTTCAGCATTTCAAAGTGACTTTTCCAAAAGTAAAACACATTTTCTCTGCTGCAGGTCATCAACGAGGTAGTTACCCAGCTGGCTAAGAAGAAGCTGGACGCTGTCATCGCCGAAGCTTGTAAAGCCCAGTATAAACTGGAGTGCACCCCCTCCACCACAGAGGAGTTAGCCGAGTCCCTCATAACCCTGGACGAAATACAGGAAAGGGTGAGACGAACATTAAAAGCAGGTTTCTTTTTAAACCAAAAGTGTTTTTAACAAACCCAAAATAGGTAAGTCATTTATTAGGTGTCAACCGCTTCCCTCGCAGCACAAAAACAGTTCCTTACAGCTCCATCAGTAATTGGCCACATCAGCAAGGCCCAGGGCCCCCACTGACACAGACTTTTGACCCCTCCCAAAGACACTATGGGTTACATACTTGTGCTTTAAGTGAGCCATTCCTCTTCCAAAACACTGAAAACCTTGTCAATTATATTGTATGTTTCTGCATTTGTTTAAATGACTTTTAATTAATTTAAATTCTTCTTCTTCTTCTTATTATTATTATTGTTGTTGTTGTTGTTGTTATTCATTTTTTCACCTTAACGTGTAGTTACCTGTTTCATTATTTGACTTATACTGCCTGTAAATAATTTATATAATATGGAATATATTTATACACAATACAATAATTTACATTCATATAATTATTTGTGTTACTTCTTATTAAATATGTATATACTTATATACATAAGTGCATGTTTTATTTATTGTAACTTACAAGTTAACATTTCATTGAATTTTTTACATTTTAAGATTTCGTTTTTAATGTTTTAATTCATGTAATAGTTTGATATTTGCTCCTTTTTACAACCTAATTCCTCTTATTGTGTTTACATGAATGCACCATCATTAAGTAAACCTACTTCTCTACACTTCCCTTTGTCCCTCTCACCAGATCACGGTGCTAGAAGAAGAGCAGGAGACGGTGTGTCAGCTGTACAATCTGATTAACATGTACTCAGTTCCCACGCCGCCTGAGGATCTGTTTGTTTTCGCCACCTTGCAACCCACCATCAGCTCACTGCACAGCATTATCGACGGGGCCGCGCTGGAGAGGGAGGCCAGCATGGGGAAGCTGGGCAGCTCCATGCACAAGGACATAATGGAGCTGAACCGTGAGGTCACACAGGTCAAGCTGAAGGCACAGGTACGTGGAGAGCTTTCAGAAAGGTGCAGGGATGATATCTGTGTAGGTCATCATCGTGAGTGCTACTTTGACCAGAAGCAATGGGATTTTTAAACTTTGTATTAGTTTCTGTTAGTTTTGTGTTTGTTTTCTAGTTTTAGTTTGGGCCGTTTAATATAATTAGGTTGAAGAAATTGCAATAAATCTCCTTTTATTCAGTGTCACATACATTGAATAGTAAGCCCTTTATCATTATGCTATGGACAGATTACCGCCATTACACAGCACTAATATTTAAACTAGGGCTGTCAAGTTAACGCGTTAATAACGCGTTAACGCAAACAAAAATTAACGCCACTAATTATGTTAACGCGATTAACGCATGTGTATTTTTTTTCCTCGGCCGCCACATAGTTTCAGAGCACATCGAGTTTAAAATACCATCTACAAGCTGATGCTGACAGCCCCGCTCCTGCCGCCCGCTTGCGGCAGACCACACTTCCTCGCTCACCGGCAGGCACCGACTGACCATCGGGAGGACCGGGAGGGTGTGTGTATGTGTGGCGCGAGGGAGAGACCTTACGTGTATTGTTGTTGTTGTTAGCATCTGGTGCTAGCTAGCTGCGCTAACGGATATAAGGAGCTGTTTAAATGAAAACAGAGGAGCGACATTTCTCCACAACTGCGCCGAGCACTTGACTTTATGCAGGTAGCCAGACAGTGGGACATTGTGGGAAAAGTTAGCACACTCAGCACGGATAGTGCGCGCAACATGATTGCAGCATCCAGGCAGCTCCCGTTCACTCACACACACACACACACACACACACACACACACACACACACACACACACACACACACACACACACACACACACACA